ATGAAACAAAAATATGAAAACGAACAAAATTTTTAGTTTTGTATATAAATACTTGTTACAATATATATATATATGTGTGTGTGTGTGTGTGTGTGTGTGTGTATGTATATATATATATATATATATATATATATATATATATGTATCAACAATACACATATATATTTTATAATATATATATTATATGATATATATTATATGTGTTAAATATATATAAATTATATACATAATATATAATATATATAATGTGCGTACATAATATATATAATATATATTATATATATAATTTATATTTAACATATATATTATTATATATGTAATATATATATAACATATATAAATATTCATAAAATATTATATATATAGTATGTTATATATAGTATATAATATGTATATAAATATATTTATAATATGTAATTAATATATATATATATATATATATATATATATATATAGATTGTCATGGACCCAATCATAATACCACTGATGAGGCGATCCTGTGCACCTGTTGCAGTGAATTCATAAGAAATATATGATATAATATACTATATATATTATATGATATATATATAATATATCTCATATACTATAAATAATACAATATATATAATATATAATGTATGTAATATATATATATTTAATAAAATATATATATAATATTTATATCGTATATATATTTGATATAAGATATATGTATATACACATATATAATATATCTATACATTATACATATATAATTTAATATATATATATATATATATATATATATTATATTTATATATATAATATATATATATATATATATAACATATTATATTTATATATATAATATTTACATTTATAATATATATAATACATATATATATATATAATACATAATATTGATATATTTATATAATATATTTTAAGAGGTCAAGGAGGGGTGTGACCCGAACGATAGATGAACCTATTTAAATATGAAAAAATGATCTATATATGTTTATATACCAGAAAAATCTTCATTTCAGCTTTCTTGGCACAATTTGAGATAATGCAAAAATTTATAAAAATATAAAAAGGAACTAAGTGTAATTAACTTGACGATATATCAAATAATATTAAAATATGTATATAATTTCAGCGACCTATCTCTATGTGAGCATCTGTAGTTACATCAACGTAAACATTGCTTTGAGCCGATGAGGTCCTCAAGTACGAAACGCATCACAAGGAAAATTTTTCCCACTTTTCCATTAATTTTCCATGAAACAAATGGGATCCGTTTAAAAGTTTAATATGTTGAAACTATTATTTCAATTTAATTAGAATTTCTTTGAAATTAATTGTGGAAAACTTTTCCCCAAAATTTCTGTGAAAGCTGAAAGCAAAATATTTTGAATTTGTAAACTTTTTTCTGTTCTTTTTCATTAAACCTTGTGTCGGAGTTAATTAATATCTTTTCAATTCGCCTATGCATACATATACATACTTACATATATATATATATATATATATATATATATATATATATATATATATATATATATATATATATATATAATGATAATAATAATAAATACATATAGAATTGATAGTTGACAGAGAGAGAAAGAAAGTGTGACAAACTTATCCGCGGACATAATACAATATAGATTTTTGAAGATAAAATAAAAAAAAAATCTATTAAAATAAGTAAACAGGAACAAGACTGAAATTGTTAAAAACAATGAAATTATTTTCTCGTGCAGTGATTTAAAAACTTGTACGCAATATCCTGTAAGACACGGGAACCATTTGACTATAGATGAAGAGATTGTTCAATCTGTTCAAATTGTCTGAATTTTTTCCGTACTCTTTCGATTTCACTGTGTGTGTGTGTGTGTGTGTGTGTGTGTGTGTGTGTGTGTTCGTGAGTGCGTTTGTGTAATTGTGTTGTTTTTTTCTGAGTCGGTGTTTATCTCCCTTTCATTTCATCTGATCTAAAACATTCTCTCATTGGTCACTTAATTTACACACTTTTAAACACTTACCCAATCGCCTTTCTCTTTTCGGCTCCGCCCATAACCTGCTGAGCGCCACCTTTTTTTTGTTTGTTTTTTTTGGTGGCAGACCACTCCTTCTTTTTCTCTCATCTTTTCTCTTTTTCTCGCTAATCAGCAATCATTCCTCCCCTTCTCAGTTTCTCCTCTTACTACATTCTGGCGCTACTCCGAAATCCTGCATCAGTAATTGACCAACACAGTAGAGGGAGACGCATGACTCTCTCTCCCTCTTCTGCCTGAGCTGCGATTTCAATATTGCCTGCTCTTGGGACTTAAACGACGTGTGGATATCATTCGTTTTTGTTATATATATATATATATATATGTGTGTATAAATATATATAAATATGTATATATATATATATATATATATATATATACACCTTTTAATACAACTTTTTATCAATACCAGTACACAACCTTCATAATATATAAATTGCATAATCAGTGTCATATTATATATATACATACATACATACATATCTATATATACATACATACATACATACATACATACATACATATATATATATATATATATATATATATATATATGTTCATTGTTTCTACTCGTGTGTGTATCTGTGTATCTTAATATTGTAAACGTACATTTTATTTGAACTCGCATTTAAACAGCAAGGATTTTTTAAATGGATAAAATTTGTTTTATATCATTGCTTGCGATATATCTTTACCTTCGATGACCATGACTACTTCATGGGACAACTTTAAAGTCGACACCACTATCAAAGGTAAAATATTTTTTTATTTTTGGATTTTTTTAGTTGAAAGATGTAATTGTTTTCTTCGACTTGAATAAGGTTTTACCTGCGTACATCTTAATTATATATCTATATGTGTGTGTGTGTGTTAATCTTAGATATACGCTGACCTATATTATTGTTATTGTTTTTTAACGAACGTTTTTGAGGAGTAACCCTCGCGTTTAGATTAAAAAAAAAAGATATGGCTTCCAGATTGAAGAAATGCATTTTAATATTTAAGTTCTCGTCTGTTTGCCTTTTTGTGGTGGTTAAGGTATTTTTAAAATGATCTTTATAGTTTTTTATTTCATTAGCAATAAACACTACCTTCTTTTTGGAAATAATTAATAAAATTATTACAAAAGATATAATCTGAGATTAAATAAAATTAAATTAAATTAAAAATATCACATCAGTAGTTTACCCCAAACGAATTTTTTTATAAAATTCTATAGTCTCATTAAAAACACTATAATATTTACGTTGAGAGAGTAACACTTTAGTTTACATTTTAGTTGTCAATTCGTTTTTACGACTAAAATTCACCTCTGTGCGTGTGTGTTGATATTTTTGCTTCTTGTGTGATGAATCATGACTGACCTCTGTCTGGACGAGGGACGTGTGATAATGGTTTAAACGATTATTCTGTCATTTATAACAAAAAATAATATCAGGGGATATTAATTACACTAAGATAAATTCTATATCTAATGTTCGTTCCTAAGAATCGATTTAAAGTTTTTATTCTTGGTTACTTTTTGATATGAGGTTCGATAAAAATTTTGACGATAATGACAAATCATTATTTTTCGAATGTTTCTATCGCATGTACATTTTCTCTGTGCAGCCAATTAAATGCGAGAGTATTCATCTTTGCAGGTCAGTGACTCAAGTGCGAATGACGGAAATTTCTATTGTAGTTGCACAACCAGCTAAGAAAAAAAAAAATGATTAAAAAATTAACGAATATCAAAATGAAAATTCAATGTAAATTTCAGATTTATGGACAATATTTTTTAAAATTGTATTTCACTTAATTTTGTTTTTTACAAATTACTGCAAGAAGTTTTGCAAACATTTGTCTCAACATAAAAACGATCTAACCCTTAAATAGGAATGAGATACTAGTTACTATATGTTTGTTTTCTTGCAATAGTCAAGCTTTATTTAATTCCTCCTCCTTAAAGTGACCATGGCTCTCCGTCGCTTCCTTTAAGTTTACTTTAATATAAATAAACAGAATTCTTATGATTGTTCTTAGACATGATTGTCGAATGCTTTCTCATTGCCTTTATGACAAGTTACCTACCAAGGCTAAAAAATCCAAGTGTGTGTTGCTACTTTTCTCATAGATAAGGAGATGTTTCATACGCTCTGATAAAAACAATTTTTTTAAAAATAAAAATGTATCCATTAATAGTGTAAAGATTAAACACGTTGATTAAAAAAAAAGGTTTGGCACTGATCTACAAAAAATTGGACCCGCATGCGCACGTTAAGTTTAAAGATATAATTAATTCTCATTATCATTAATTTAAAAAAAAAAAAAAAAAAAAAACAGTTTTCAAAACACTGATCACCTGTACATGTGCGCGCAAATTCGCTTTTATATAGTAGTCCCATTGTATAGTAGTCCCAATGTTTTAGTCTCGCAAAGATATCAAGATTTGCTTCTATCAAAACATCATTACTACAAATAATGTCTTATAATAGTTAAATTATTTCCATATTTTTTTTTATTGCCAACATTTATTTAAACTCTGTTGGAATTGTACAATTAGTACTATGACTAGAAATAACCATTCTTTTCATTCTACCTATTACTACTCAATACACACCAGATCACAATAATAAAAAATTTTATAAAAATCAATAGTTGGTTTCCAGCTTGCTATGTAAAATAATTCGAAAGCTACGGAAGCTAAAAAAAAAGGCCCATCCGATGTAATTTCTTAAATTGTTTAAAAAAAAAAAAATAGATTTTTAAATTCATAATCTGGAGTTATTCTTTTTCTTTCATATATCACTTTCAGTGAAACCCTCCAGATTACGAATTTTAATTTCTTTTTCTTACATTTTAAAACATTTCTTTACATTTTAAAAACATTTTAAAATATCACGTCGTATGAGTATATTTTTGGCTTCCGTAGAAGAATCAATTTACAATGAATATACTTAGCAAACTACACCCCCTAAGTTAATCAAATATTATATTCGTTGTTTGGATTGCTTAAATTTATAGTAATTAAGAATAAAAAATATTATTTCTGATTTTAATGTAGTACCTATTGTACAACTCCAATCTGTCCTAGCGAGAATGTCCTGTTGCAACGTTTAAATTAGATTTTTTAACATATATTTCACTATAACGTTTTTATCAGTATTCGTTATGTGAAGTTTTAAGTTTAGATAATGTCATTAAAACTCTTCGTTATCAAAAAAATCCAAACCTATTATGAAAGTTGAAATGAAAACTATATTGGCTTGGAAATTATATACCTACGTTTAAATTTGACAATTTTTATTAAAGAAACATTTCTAAAGTCTTAGATCGAACTATACATTATTGATACATTGATCAGTAATATCAAGCTTCTGTAAGAAGGTAAAAGCCCAAATAGTGAGAATTAACGAGATAAAAAAAAAAAGAAATGAAAATGTGGTTTGCTACCTTTAAGCTTCTTTTTCACCTGAAGAATATTATTAAAACATGCCAATATAAAATATGAAAAAATATTTAAATAAATGTAAATTATTTTGAAACTTTCTCCAAATAAACGATTTCAAGAACTGAATAAATAAAACTTAAAAGAGTTTTATAGTTTACTTTGGTCTTTATTTACAGATACAGCATATATTTTCAGAACGAATTTCATGCACAAAATGTCACAATTATTGAGGAAGAAAAATAACGATTTCATTTTTCATTAATTGTTGCTAAAAAAGATATTAATTTAGATCAAAATTGGTAGCTTCTTTGCTAAATTGAACATCCTAAATAAACATTTAAGTTGATAAATGTGTACTCGGATCTATGATTTTTTTTTATTTTAGATTTCTAAACAAAATCAATTCTTAGAATTCGTAACTTATTCCTGTCAAAAGATCTATATTCAATAAGTTCGGGTTACGTGATAGGAAAGATGTGTTTAAAAGCTCTCGGCTAGATCAACAAATGTTGTTTTGTTTTTGTTGTTGTTTTTAAGTGATATTTAGTAATTTGGTTAGATTTTGCTAAGTGGATTAGGCCGAGAAATTTTCAGCACCATCTCGTAGCGGGTATTTGGTTTCGTTGAATTTGAAATTTTTATTTCATTTAATTTATTTCACAATGTTCCAAAACCGATTTCTGCTACAGGTGGGAATTAAAACAATTATATATATATATATATATATCACTATTGAATCCAATGACAGGATGATTAGATAAAGTAAAGAACAAGTAGAAAAAATATTTAAGTTTCAAGTTTCGTTATTTTATTTCATCAGGATTTTTTTAAGATAGCGAAACGTGTTAAATTTATAAACCTTTTCCGATTTTTTTGTTAATTATATAAATATTGTGTGAGGGTGACAAGTTCTCGGCCTGACCAAGGAGTGGTTTTTGTTTGTTACTTTTGATGTTTCGGTAAGTGGGCTGGGCTCATTTTATATACCCGGGGCTGGATTAAGAAATGTATCAATGATGTCTACCTTGACCTTTTCCAGATAACTACTAGGTATAGAGTAGATAGTTACTGCTTTTAATTTAGTAACACAATCTTTTCATATAGTTAAGATCTCTGTCTGTATATCTCTTGAGAATGTAAATTAATTGAATTAATGAGAAATTCAGAAACTAACTTATTTCGGGAGATTCCTGAAGTCGTCATAAAGTTGATTTCCACTAAAAGCAACCTCTTCTTTTTCAAACCCCAAAAAAACGGAGAGTGGCTTTCTTGGTTTAAGATATTTTCTAATTAACTAACAGAAGGTGTTACTGACCATTAATTTTTCATTTTTTTTAACAATAATTTTTCACTAGTCTAAGCTTTATTGTGAATATAGTCTGGTCATTAGAAATTCCGATATGGACTTTGTTCGTCAATTTTTCTCAAACTTGTCAGAATATGAAATACTGTGACGGAATTTCATCCTTGTCTGAGAATAATTATTCTATGCGTAATTTTGAAACGTCGATCATTAAAATTAATCGACACAAAATGTCTATCATTTGTAATAGTATTTTGCCTTAAAGAACATTTGTTGCCTAAATCAACAGATTGTATATATATATATATATATATATATATATATATATATATATATATATGTATGTATGTATTACGCGTATTTTGAAATGGATTAAATCCGGCAATTATTTAATATATTTTCTGTTTATAGATATAAAAATAACGTATAAAAAGAATATATATATATATATATATATATATATGTGTGTGTGTGTGTGTGTGTTTGTGTGTGTGCGTGATTGTG